TTCATCGCTATGCTGACGACACTCAGCTGTATCTGCAATGAAAGACTGTGATTGGTTAGGTATTCCTGACACAGATGCGTAAACGTTTGAAGTTTTAGCGCTGCAGGACTCACCTGTCAGCCAAAATGAAATTGACCAGGATAAGATCGGGGCTGTTCTGACTTATAACAGTAGAGTCAGGAGGTTATAGTGTTCATGATTAATCGCCTAAAGACAGTCTGTCTGAAAGTCAAATCTGCCTCCAGTCTGAATGAAGCCTTCACACTCCCTTTAGTTTTTTGTCTCTTCAGTTTCCCCCATCATGTCAAACAGAATCACTTTGTGCTTTGACTTGATTTTTTCATCATCTCCTCTTCTAATCAACCTCTTTCCCCTGCTCTGTACAAGTGCAGCTCGAATCAAACATTCCCAGCCTGTGTTTTGGGCTTTCATATGAAAAATCTTCAAATCCAGGCCTGCTCTTCTTGTGTGCCTGTGTGACTCATTCAGGTTTTTCACTTCAGGCACCTGTTCAGGGCGCTCGCTGATAAATAGAGCTCAGAAACTGAAATTAATTTACAGAAAATGTCACAGTGTCGCCCACACTGTTTGACTGACGGCTGAACTTTGTGCATTGCAGAAACACAGAAATAACAGCACAAACACAGAGAACTTATATTTATATCCGAGTGCTCTGCAGAGGCATTGCCTCATCTTACTGCAGCAGATACTGTGAGATTAGTCTGAGGTTTCTGGAGGAGGCTCAAAGTGAAAAACAAACTGGAATTTTCCTGTTCCCTCAGTCTTTTTTGAATCCAGAGAGCTGAAGTGGGAAAATGGATGCTCTAATTACCAGCGGACTCAGTGAGACTGCGTCTTCATGCTGGTTGACATTTTGATTCAAGAGGGAATAATGAAAGCAATCAGAAACTCGCCCCGTCCTCCCACTGGGCTCACAGCCTCTCTGTGACATGTTTGCTCTCAGCTCTGAAGACCTCCACAAGTCTGTTTTGTTTTTTGGCCGCTTTTGGGCTCTGACACCATTTTTAAGTTACAAGACTCTCTCAACTACACTTAGAAGATCTTGTTAAACATATCCCTGTTTGTTAAGTTGTTAACAGAGTCCAACACTTGCCATGTTTACATGTGCAAAATCTCTTGATCCGATTAAAAATGTGAGGGATCTGAAAATCTGAATCCGTTGTTTACATGCGCCAAGTTTTATTCAGATTAGAAGCATTTGGACATCCGCAGAGTTGTCTAATCTCGCTAAAACAACCGCAGAAGAAGAGGAGTTGTATTTACGCCTGTGCTGTCAACAAACCAACAAACACAGTAGTGGCTCACACCATCCAATTCAGGATTGTCCTCCCTGTTAAATTTTGTCACTAGATGGTGCCCTTGTGAACTTATTTTACTGTTCTGTCAAAGGTTGCTCTGTTCGTGCAGATGTGACATCATCACGCTGTATGTACGCCTTGTTATGTTATCAGAGGAGCAGACACGGCACAAAACCTCCTGTACTGGCCTCAATAAATAAGCCAAAGGACAAAGAGTGAAGACCGAGTCAGGCTAGAGAGTCACAATCGGAAGAAGTGTTTACATGGACACATTTCGGAATAACGATCGGCATAAATCACCCCTCTTGATCGGAATACAATTTCTTTCCGATTGAGCCAAATTGGATCAGAATCTTCCGATCGACATGTTTACATGATGCATTTTTATTCCGATTATTTGTGCCCATGTAAACGGAGCTAGTGTCTCTTTAATTAAAACCACTTACAGAAGAGTAAATTGCTCACACCATCTGTCAGGTGGTGGGAAACAAAGGATGTCCTTTTTATCGTTGGTGATTTGAAGGTTAACGCCTCCTTTCTGCAGACGGTTATGTGCTACACCCTCATGCATGTGTGCACATTTTCAGGAAAATGAAAAAGAGGTAAATATGCAAGAAGCTCAGACTCCCATGTGGTCCAAAAATCCTCAAAGCAGCTTTAATTAAACATTTCAGACCTGCAAAAAGATGTATTTTAAGTCTTTAAGCCTTAGTCTTTTGTATTTCTTCTGCTGCTTTAGCTGAGCTGTATGCCCTCCCTGTAAATGTTGCATTTACTGGGATGAATCAAAAGGTCAAAGAAGCGAGCGCTCCCGTCTTTGATGATGCTGCTGTTTGCTGAACACACCCATCCCAGGAGCTGGTCTGCAGACTGCAGATGATACATGTTTGCAGCACAGCAGCACAGCAGCACAGCGGCTGATCAATCACGTGAACACGCGGCTTAGAGAGGCATTTACTGCCTCGGCACGTCTGTCCAGACACACATGAATAAATAAATAAATAATAAACACTAATGGGAATTTCCCTGTGTGCTCAGAGCCATACAGGGATAGCTGCAGGGCTGTCCACATGAAAAAGAAACCAATCACTCAGAGTCAGATAACGTGTCAGATAGGACAGTCATGGTGCTGATTGTTTTCACTGTGGACGCCGCGGCTCGGCTCACGTTGGAGGATTCGCGGCTGATAGAGAATATCGTTTGAGAGGAGTGTGTGATGCTGGCGACAGATGGTTGGGCTTCTTTTGGCATCAACATCAAGAGAGATAAAATATGGAAATCAAGTTCTTTTCAATACCTGACATGATGCAGATGATGGTGTGTTGCTGTAACACAATAGGGAGTTTTATTTGTATAAGATAAGCGAGGGAGGGGATTCCCTGTTTCCAGAGAAATCACTCTCTCTCTGTATATCCTTATCCTTCCTCCCACTAAGACGTTTTAAATCAAAATGAATGACTTCCTCTTTGTAATGAATGCCACTCTTGATACATGACATATGAAATATCTTCAATACTGTATATTTTATCCATATTATACACCGCAGAAATGCACTGGAACATGAAAACAGACACTGTACTGTAAATTTCTGTAGATTAGTGTTGGGCTTTCACCATCCATGATAATAGAGATGGCAGATTGTGTAAACAACTTGAATAAACATTAATGCCTCCATGCTTTCATTTCAGTGAATGGACCTGATGTCGCCTCTTCCTCGCTCAGAGATGTTTTGAGATGAAGAGGAGAGGATGATGTTCAACAAAAGAGCAGAAAAAGATGGATATCTGTTGTTGAAGCTGGTTATTCTCTTACAAGTGAGCTGATGCTGTTGCAGCAATCAAGAAATCCCTCTGCGATCATTATCTTCTGTATTTTCCATTTTCTGCAACATAAACACAGTCAGTTCTTGGTTCATGATGTCCCTCAGAGTAACAGCTGTCAATATCCAACAATAATACTCTTACTTCAGTTACATGGAGATATCTGTCCACAGAGATCATTAAATTATCATCAGATCACCAAAGGCAGAAGATTGGCCATCCATTAGAATATGTCAATAATTTTGCAGCATTCACTTCAAGAACAAGCTGTTTCTGCAGACTTACGCTGGTCTCTGATTGGTCCTGGGCTATCTTAGCCTCCTTATAAACCAGACTCACAGCTGAACTGTCTTATCGGTGACTCCCTCCCTCTCTCTCTCTCTCTCTCTCTCTCTCTGTCTCTCGACCAAGAAGAGGATAATTTGTGACTCCCTTGATGCTATCACCAAATAGTTAAAGGATTAAATGTTCAGATCATTGCTTTCTGGGTTAGTCACTGCTGTAATTACACCATATTTCTGTGTGTGTTCAGGCACAGAAAGACTTGGAGAGCAGCCCACACATCAGACAATGTGGTTCTTCACCGAATCCACCGTCATAAACTGAGCCAGTGAGGAGGACTTTAAAGGACTCTCCATATCTCAATGTTTGGGGAAAAAATGAGAGAGAGAGAACCTGTCAAGAGGAACTAAGCTTCCCAAAACATGATACATCGACAAGTCGGGAATCTTATGAATCCAGGCCAGTTTAATTATGATTAAAAACCCAGAGTCATTATTTTTCATCAGACCGGGAGTGGATGATTAATGTGCAGCCTGGTTCAGGTTTGTTTTTTGTTTATCCTAGTTTGCACATTCAGTGGGAGTGTCTACAGTCACAGCACACTCATTAATGTAAGAATATTATTGTTGGAATTAAATTTGGCACGTCACGTTTGCAGTGGTTTTCAGAGGACACAAAGGATCAGCAACCAAATGGTGGATGAAAAAGAAGCGGCTGTCATAATTAACATGACTTCTCTTCTGAGTCTTATTGTCCAGTTATGATTATCTAACCTCTCAGTTGCAAATGTGAAATAAATGCAAAAACTGTGTCTTGTCTAAGGGCCACCAGGGTCAGATTTTACTGATTCTCAGGGGCTGGGTGTGACCCTATGTGACCTGAACTGAAAGGTATGATGGATATAAAGTCAAGCCCTGTGAACCAGTTACATTTAGGAGAGAGTGGTGTAAGATGAGCCATTTTTCATATTTTGGATCACTACATCGAGGCAGTCATAGTTTTGTCTCTAACTAGTGAATCTGCATATATTTCAAGATGTCGTGCATCCCTGCAAACCAACAGGATGAGTGTAAACATAACTGTCTTGATAATATAGCATGCCAAAAAAAGTAGTCTCCTATCGTCAACTTACCCTGTATATGGGGTAAGTTGACCCTACGCACTGTAAACAAATGTCACAGAGAGAAAAAGCTGATATGGTATGAAAAAAAAGTCAACACTTACAAGATATTCAGATATTCATTCAAAATTCATATTCAAAATTAATGTAGCACCCAACTATACATGATTTGTTATTTCTTGAAACGTGTTTGGTTCACAAATATTCAGTATATTTTGCCATATTGCCTGTTAAATCATTTCTGTGCTGAAATAAGCTTGAATTAACACACAGAAACTGATAACTGCACTTCATTTGGGGAAGGTACTAAAATGTCCGATGTTCTTTATGGTCTATGAATGTCTCATTGTGTTTCTTTTGTTTATTTGAGTAATCAGGTGTCAATCTATTATTAGCCACTCCGTGCCTTTCAGAGATGAGCGTGAACTACCTATCGGATTCTGAAGGGGGCGGGACTAATAAAGAGAGGCGATGAAGCTCGCGCAAGTACCGGGAGAGACGACAACGCCACGGAAAAGTAGTTATAAGCCATTTGAAACCGTTTAAAGTTACTGTTGTCACTGAAACACTAAACTATATGGGTTGTTTGTGTGTTACCGGTACTTAATGTTGGAGTGAGCCAAGTTCAGAGCTGTTTCAGCCGGGAATCGTACTGCATGTCCGCGACGCCATTTTCGTGGTGTCTGGAGCTACAGTTAGCCTCGTTCCCGCTAGCTAGGAGAAGGAGACCACGCGTTTGTGTGAGGGAGAAATATTTTGCGCAGTTTCCTGAGTGAGTATGGGCATTATTTTATGGTGGCCAAGAACAGCGACTGCTGCAAATAAAAAAAGTATCCAAAAAACAAAACAAAAAAGAAGCCACAACAGAAGTTACTGATGCATCAAAAGAGAAACTGAAGCCCGCTGCAAAAAAAATTTATGGCTTTTTTAATTTGCATCCTTTTCTTTTTGCAGTAAGTAACTTTTTTTTCCATTGCCACTGTTTTTTGCATCGTTAACTTCCATTGCAGCTGTCTTTTTTTTCTTTATCTGCACCGTTTCTTTTTTTATTTGCAGCGGGCTTCAGCTTCTTTTTTTTGCATCGGTAACTGTCGTTGTGATGCAGTGGCCATTCTTGGCCACTGTATTACTTGAACTGATGACAGTATGAAAATGTTTAAGAGCGAACAGTGAGTTTATTAGTGTTTTGAATTTCTGCCAGGGGGCGCTCAGAATTCACGTTGTCTTCAGAGAACCTGCTGTTTCATGAGGATGTGTCCCAGGAGTAGTATCTTCATCTTCGTTCACTGTACTCCTCTGAACTGAGGGTTTGAGGAAACTGTTGCTATCCGTGAGTACTGAGAAACACTTTGACAAGGATACATGAGCACTAACATGCACGTTAATGATAAGGTACCATAACTGAGTTACAAAACCCTGGGGATTTTTATTTTATTTTATTTTATGGACTCTAAAGGGTCACCAGATCAAGGTGAAGGGTGATTGTCTGTGTTTATTTGTTTGGAATGAACATTTCATCCTGTTGCAATGTATATTTGCAGTCGTACTGTTTATTTGAATGTGGTGTTATTAGGGCCATAGTGTGTGAAAGGTTCATGCATTGTAGTATTAAAGCTAAATGGGCCTCTCTGCACTCTATAGGCAGAGTCATATGCTCTATGTAAAAGTAAACGCATTACAGGGTTAATATTTTAGTAGAGTCCCTCCAAATCAGCTCCCATACTAAAGGAGTCATCAGGTATAAGGGGTTTTACCATGACAATTCTGTAACAAATTAGAGTTAATTGGGAGGGCTACATTAAAAGTTTAAATCTTACACTAATGCAGTAAAGCTCCTCCACGGGAAACATAGAAAATACTCAGATCATTCATCAACTTTTTGTTGCATTTACAAGCAAACAGCTGCTCAGGTGCAGCAGCACAGCAGCCAACAGAGTAAAACCAGTGTTGTGTGTTGCTCCCTGTGAATGAGTGTAATTAAATGAATCTGCAGTGAGGCTGTGATGGAGCTAAAAAAGCACGCTCAGCAAACCCCCAATATAAGAGAAATAATGGCTGGTGAAAGAATAATAAGGTTTTGTAATAATGTAGCTGCAGAAAAGCCAGCATGAGAGAAACAAATGCGGTTAATGTGCCCTCCTCTATTTATTCCCTGATGGTTAAAGAAGCTGCTCAATACAAAACTGCACACGCTCAGTCCACTGCCCCCCCCCTTTATAAGACCTCTTAGATGATCTGTGAGTTTTATCAAACCAACAGGAAGCACAGTAACAGCAGCACACTTGCGTCTCTACGTACGTAAAAGCTAACATTTGAATTTGTTGTGTTAGACTGGATGGATTAGAGTATATTTGTGCAGGATCAGGAACAAATTCGACTTAAATTGTGAGGAAAAGGCAAAGATAAACCACAAAGTATCAAAATATTCATGCTTACCATAACAATGACAGAGATCATATTGTATTATCTTGTTTTATTCCAATAGATTTTACATTTTAAGCTCCCATTTAATGGAAATGTATGTATTGTTTCATAAAAAATCATAGTTGTCCCTAATGCAGAGTTTTAAATTTAAAACTCTACATCTTAAATACATTCCATTCTTTTTACAGATGTACTCATGTCCCAGATTTACTGTGAAATAAAACCTTATTTTTAATACCACAAATAGAAAATCATAACATGGTCATGACTATTTGCAGGAGCACACATTAGCCGGTCATGGCTGTGCACAGTGTCTGTCCGAGTGTGTGAATGTAAATTGAATCCATTTGTTAGCATTCTCGTCACGAGGAGGAGCTTGATAATTAGCTGCTGTAATTCAGAAACAATGACTCCAGCCTCTAGCTGCGCACGGCGGCCTCCAGGCACCGGAAAGGACGAGATGAACGGCCCCATTCAGCGGCTCCACACAGTCAACAGCACCCATGGGTGAAGTCCAAACCCTTGTGACAGATTTTGTTTGTTATGAAGTGGCAGCAACTCACTGGCTTACAGTCCCATGAAGGCAGGCTGGCACTTCATTACTCACAAGGTAAGGGGTGGTAACTAATTAATATGCTGCAGCATTAATCATTGTGTAATGAAGTGCAGTTTCTATGTTAATTGAATGGAGAAACAATGGCCCACTGAGGTGGTGTAAACTTGCAAAATGTAACCTGATACTGCCACCAGGAATAAGACAGTTTAAGATTACACGCACACAAACACACACAAGCAGAGGTGCAGGAGTCTCTCTCTCTCTCACACACACAGATTAAGAGGATATTTTAAAACAATAAAGTCAGCCTTTCCATTGAGTATGATATCATCTTTTAATCAAAGCCAGTCTGGGCGGTGATATTAGGTCTCTTACCTTGAATTTCACCCTTCTTCTGTTTGGTTTAGACTAAAATTCAAGTTGTTTTTTAATCAAAAACATCATGTTTATGATTGAAGCAGGGTTCAGCGCCTTACTCTTTGTGTCATCTCGGTGACATGCTGAAGTTAAAGCACTGTCACACCATCACATGTCACTCGTGTCTCTGTGACAGACAAAAACAGTATTTCTACCTCAAGGTAAACAAAGAGGTTTGAAGGGCTGCTTGACAAACGCAACGGCAGTCAATCAGATAACTGAAATCTGCTTTAGCATAGAATAAAGTTGAGATTATACCTCTGTGCAGAAATCTATCTCAGTGACTACTGAAGCATCTTTTAAAAAATCTGAAAATTTTGCGTCTTTTAAAGCAGATGTTGAGAATATGAGAATACTTTGAAAACAGTTCTCATTGCATTTGATTTGAAATAACTAGGGTTATCAAAATTATAGATACTTTGAAAAGTATTGATACTTACACGCCGTATCAGGGAACGATACTAATTTGCCATGGTATTGATACTACCATGTGCGTGCCCGCAGCGCCCGCCGCGTGCACTCTGCAAGCAGCACGGCCGACCCGGCAGACAGCGTCCGGTAGTCGGGAGAGCCCTGATGAGTTCCGGCAGGTTAGTAAAGCTCCTGTTCATCCTATACTTTACTGTAGGAAACTCATTAATGATGTTAGTCTGGCCGGTCGCCAGCATTAATCCGCGGAAGCTGCAGTGAGCTTTATGATCAGTGAATGTTGTTTGTTCTGTTTTCAGCCATTAACTGCGTGCCCATGGCTAGCAGCCTTTAGCTAACTAACATGACTCAAACGTGTTTTCTTCTCTTAAAGATGCAGACTGAAGCAAAGAGAAGTAAACCTGCGACTAAACCAAAGAAACCACAGCCTACTCTTCTACTGCTATTTGAAAAACAGAGGAAGTATGACCCAAAGTCTCCTGAAGCTGTCAAACTAAACAGCAGTGTACATCTGTGAGGACCAACTAACCATTTACATTTTTCATGTTAATAAAAATAATTTTTATGCCTTTTAAAGTATTTGTCATTTTTTTATCCCCACAGTATTGAAAATGGTATTGACTATCGAATATTATCCTGGGTATTGGTATCAAGTTTGAAATTTTATTATCATGACAACCATGAAAATAACAAAGTTCTCCATACAAGTGAGCAAAACCAAAGGTGTGTGTAAGGAGGGCAAACATGACTCCATAGATTACCGATATTACTGCTGAGGAATGGACAAAGGGTGCTTCATGATCAATTTTGCATAACTTAAATGTTATCTAAATGTCATCGCAGGGGCTTGGCCAGTGCACTACATGAAAGCTAAGTCAAACATCCAACACATTACACTCTTAATTTCTTTTGTAATTGATCATTTTTCCTCTGATTTGCACTTGCAGTTTCTGATGGGATGCAGAGATGATACGAATTGTGTGTTTGGCTTTCATAGGTTTAACCAATGCCAGCAAAAGCAGAGCAGGATGTAGGATATGTAAAATGAAATGATGGGGTTAAATGTTAACAGAGATCTGTGCATGTTCACATATAAGCCAGACCATTTAAGTTCTGCCGTCCACAGCATTTACACTGAACATCTCAACCTTCCCTCGGTACAAACGTGATTAGGCTGCAGGTATTTTTGAGTTTATAAGACACCTGCAGTGATCCACACCAAAGGAGAATCAATGAGTGCATCCCCTTAATAAGAGGAGAGCAACGCACATTTATGCACAGTGCACAGCACTGCAGCTTTATTGATCATTTGAATCCTTAGACATGGCAACAAGATTTATTAGTATGCACTGTGTATAAATAAATCTGTTTTCTGCACATTCAAAAGGGTCCCACAGGTTAATACAGTCAGTCCAGGTTCATGCAGTCAATAGTTTGGCGTGCAGAAGCGCACTATTTCTAATACATGATAGTATAAATAATAATGAGGACTTTACTCATATTCGTCTCTGGTATTTTGGAATTGCCGGTCACACTGATGCAGATCATGTGTGTTTCAGCATGACAGATCTTTTTGAGGTTTTTATGGTTTTTAAAGAAACACAGTTAAAAACTGTTTTTATCTTTGGAGCAGGTTACAGGAAGACAACTCCAGTCAAAGTGAAACGTTTTAACGGGAAAGAAAAACTGTGTATTTATTTGAGGAGGAAAGGCAGCTAAGTTGAGGAGTGACTGAGATGTTTGTGTCAAAGGTGAGAGCCAGAGTGCAGGTGGACTTAAGCTTCTCCAAGGCTGTGTCTGATGTGGTCTTTCACAGACATTATCTGCTCTGTACAGGAGGAGAAACTGGTTATCAGTCTTTGTTTGTACTGTTTTTACTTAGTTACTATGACAGCCGGTAGAGAGAAAAAACTTGTTTTCCCTTATACCAAATGTTGATTTGCATTGCGCTCGATCATCGTCCGCAGCAGCTTGTAGTGGGATTGACGAATTCACACTGACCGTTCAACCCTCAAGCAGCAGCAGCAGCATGACTGAAAACACTGCTGAATCTGCACCTGTTGCATCAGGTGATGATTATACAAATGAAGAGAACCCCTCAAGAGAGGACGACGAACATCCGTGGCCTTACTTCCACTCTTTGCTTCACTATGCTGGGGTTAAGGAGGATTCTTTCAGAATGAAATGTCTGCTGTGCGCCCAAAGGACGGTGGAAATCCTTTCATGCAAAAATTCCCCCTCCAACTTCAGGAAACACATCAAGGTAAGACCACCATGCCGTTTCCAGCCTTATTTTCCCTGGAAAATTTTTTTTTAGCTAGCATTGGATAGCTAGCTTACACACTTGCAAAAATTAAAAATATATTTATTTGTACTTTGACTTTTACTTGGAGTACATTTACTTGGAGTACATTTACTTGAGTACTTTTGATACTTTAGTAGAGAGAATTTGATTTACTTTAAGACTTCGACTCGAGTAGAATTCTCATGTAGACTTTTACTTTGACTTGAGTCATTTTTAACTCAAGTATATTTGTTTAGTACTTCATACAACATTGGGCGAGAGCCAGAGTGCAGGTGGACTTGAGCTTCTCCAAGACTGTGTCTGATGTGGTTTTACAGAGACATCATCTGCTCTGTACAGAAGGAGAAACTGGTTTTCAGCCTTTGTATCAATATGTAGAAAAGTTAAACTGATACTCAGTTTTCATTGTTTTTTTTTTGTCTTTCCTCTGTAAATATTCAAAACTAACTGTAAATAAAGTTTGTCTTTAAAATCAAAATCTGTCTCTCTGTATATCTAAGTTTGGACTGACAGAAATGAGACAAAGAGACACATAACCTCTCACCTGTCTTTTTCCTCTCATTTAAAGAAAACCTGATCCAGCTGCAGGACTCATATCTGGGACCTGGAACACCTGTGAGTGAACACATGATGGAAATCCTGCGGACCACATGAATCCATGACCCAGACAGACCGGTAACATGACATCCAACAGAAACAGACCAAAAATAGAAAAACAGGCGAGGTGTTTTGAGTGACACAGTTTGATGATTTTTATTTTTTTTCACCCACAATCAGAGACTTCACCACAATCTGAGCTGAGTCAGAAACATAAAAACAGTCGGACTAATAAATGTGATTATTATTATTAGAGTGATTGAAAAGCTCCTAACATGTTGATCTGACAAAAGTCTCATTATAGATGTCTTTACAAACACACTGATCCAACAGAAGCAGACAGAAATATCCATCAATGACATGAATACAAATATTCAGCAAACAGAGAAAGCACAGATCATTTGAAGTGTTTTTGGGGCCGACTGGAAAGACTTTAGACAGTTGGATTTGGGACAGGAAATAAGGTCATCCTTTTTCATCCTTCTGTTATTTTGACGTCAATTTTTTCTAAAGTCTCAGACCTTTAAAATCTGCACCAACTGAAGGTGATGTGAACAAACGATCATCTTGATGTTGTTGCTAATCAAACTTTAGTGAAGATTTTTCAAAATGAGAACTACAAACAATGAAAGTTCTCCACAATCACTGTCCTTAAAGCTGCAACCAAATCAGCATCTTTAGAAAATAATGAAAAAGCTGAAATGAAGAACTAAACCAACAGTTTTTAGTGAGACTGATCCACAAACATTTACAAACCTGAACATTTCAAGAGTTCAATGATCTCACTACATGTTTTTGGTCTAATTGACTCCAAATTCTGTTTATCTCGGTTCTAAAAACTCAGCAGAGGCTTCAGAGCTTACCCACAGTCCAGCATGTAGCGGCTGAGTGAATGTGGTCTGGACTCTGTGGAGGAGAGTCATGGTTTCAGAGACGCTGTAGAAGGACAGAATACCTGCTCTGTGATCCAGGTACACTCCTACTCTGGAGGACGGAGGACCTGAGACAGGACTGAAGACGTTGTTGTGCTTAAATTGATATTTGTCTTTAAAACACTCTAACCTCCAAGATTTTTCATTGTATCCAAATCTACAATCCTCTAACTTCCCTGCCCTGCTGATAGTCTTGTATGCGACTGTTACATAAACCCTGGTCCCTCTCCAGTCCACCTCCCAGTAACAACGTCCAGTCAGACTCTCTCTACTCAGGACCTGACGATAACCAGTGAATCTGTCTGGATGATCAGGATAAGACTGTAGTTGTTGTGTATATGTTGCTCTTCTGTTTCCATCAGATAATAACACCCTTCTGTTTGCTGTGTTTGGATCCAGTGTGATTCTTTGTGAATATCTTAAGAAACCAGCTCTGGTCTTGGGTTCTGCTGGTCCTGGTGGTTCTAACAGTAAAACATCCACTTCAGTCATTGCCTGTGAGACGTTTGTCCACGTCTCTGTCAGAAGATCCTGGAGTTTATCTCTGACCTCTGACACAGCTGCTGTCACCTCCTCAAAGTATCTCAGAGGACGGATGTTGATTCTGGATGAGTCTGCAGGTTGACCCGGTCCTGACAGTGAGGGGTAGCTGTGCAGAAACTGGTTGTGGTCCTCTGTGAGAGAGAGCTTCTGCAGATCAGCGTCTTTCCTCTTCAGCTCAGTGATCTCCTGCTCCATCTTCTCCTGAAGCTCTTTGACTCGACTCACTTCACGTTCCTGCTGGGATCTGACCTGCTGCTCCACGTCAGAGTGGCGTTTCTCCATGAGACGGATCAGCTGGCTGAAGATCTCCTGGCTGTGCTCCACAGCTTTATCAGCAGAGCCGTTGATAGCCTCCACCTCCTGTTGGAGCAGCTTCACATCTTCTTCTCTGTCCTGGATTCTCTGCTGGATGTTTTCTCGACTCTCCTCCAGATCTTTCTGCCTCTCAGTCCTTTCTGCTGCGGCTGAGACTGTGTCGTGGCCTTTGTGTTGGTCCACAGGGCAGAGGTAACAGATAGACTGTTGATCAGTGCGGCAGAACATCTTCATCACCTCATCATGACGAGAGCAGATGTTCTCCTGGAGCGTCTTGGAGGGCTCCACCAGCTTGTGTTTAGCATAGGCAGGAGATTGATAATGAGGCTGGAGGTGTTTTTCACAAAATGAGATGAAACAGAACAAACAGGACTTGACAGCTTTCAGTTTTCTCCCACTGCAGATGTCACAGGCCACATCTTCAGGTCCAGCATCAGAGGGATCATCAGGAGCAGCTTGGAGTCCGCTCTTCTTCAGTTCCTCCACCAAACCTGCTAACATGGTGCTTCTCATCAGGACAGGCCTTGGTGTGAAGGTCTGTCTGCACTGAGGACAGCTGTAGATCTTCTTCTCATCCTCTTTATCCCAGTAGGTTTGAATACAGCTCATGCAGAAGCTGTGTCCACAGGAAACAGTCACCGGATCCTTCAGTAGATCCAAACAGATGGAACAAGAGAAAGATTCACGGTCCAGATGAACTCCTTTCTGTGCCATTTCAACACTTTCTGTCGACTGAGTTTTATTTCCTGAGAAGTGAAACTAGTCTAAGCTCTGATCTCAACAACATGTGTGTGTCAGCAGGATCAGCTCAGCACACGTTGGTTACACCCTTCCTCAAACTGTAGATCTGAAGGGGAGGGAACAAGGAAGTGAGTGTGCAGAGT